AATGGCAAGTAATTAGACTGTATCCATTAGAGCTTCACTAGCACACACTCATACAGCCAGGGTTTCAATCCAAGGGAGAAGTGGAAGTGTGAAACTCCTTAATATATTCTGCTTTTTAATTAGCAATCAGTGCTGATTTGTCAGCCATACCAACTCTAATGAACAAGCCATTGAAACACAGAAAAAAAAGGCACATTTTTAAAATCATTTATGCTTATATTTACATTCCCTCCAGGCTGAAACATTGGAGGAATTACTGAAATACCATCTTTGCCATCACAAAGCATCAAAAAGCATGTAGGAGCTCACAATCCAACACAGCCAATGCACCACTGATGGTATGGGTGAAGACACAAGTTGAGTATTTAGGAGAGGCAACTGGTATCTCCAAACACTGACAAATAAACATTACCTTTGTTAACTGCACAGAACCCAAAATCTCCAAGAGCTCAGGTGTCACTATTTATATTCCAGTCAAGCCCATTTTAAAGAATCCATTAATAAATTGATAGTGTCTTACCAGGCTGCTGTGCTTTCCTCAGTCTCTGGGTGGAGAAGGAGGTGAGGGAAGAGAAGTGCATGAAGTCCTCCTTTATCTGATCTTCACAGGCATCAGGGAAACCTGAGCAGGTGAAGCAGAACACAAGCTGCTTCTGGGCTTTGGTAGGCACAGGGTTTTACTTCCCCCAAAACAGGATGGGATCTACAGTGCTCCTGGGAAGCTGAGCAGCAAAGCTGGGCTCTCCAGTATTAGGCCAAGAGCCTCTTCCTTCTTCCTCAGCCCTCAACGAAACTGAGGTGCTGGGGGGAAAAGAGAGGATGGGGAGTAAAGATTTTCTCCTCTTGTTATCCACGGTAATATAAAGGTCAGAACTTTAATTGCTCAGTTTCACCAATATAAAGCATCTGCACTCTACCTCCCTATGCAGGGTAAAAGTTAAAGGCTGCTTCACTTATCTAAGTACCATTTTTTAATATATATAGAAATACACATATGTATTTTTATATAGAATAACTAGCTTCAAAAGCAGAGGGTAGGTCCCACTGTAGTCAGGCTCGTACTTGAAGTCAATGTATGGATCAGCTGATAAAGGCACCAACACAGCTTAAACTAATTACAATTTGCAGGTAGGGTGGTAATTGTGCTTCTAACTGCCTAAATTAGGCAAACAAATGCCTGGTTACCTTTGTGTAGCGGCTGACAGGGTACCCTGTGCCAGCTGAAAATTTAGCCCTAAATAGTGGCAATGTTCTCATTGAAAAATGACTTTTGTTTGCCTAACATCTGACAGCGTTACATCTATTTCACTAGATGTTTAATTAGTTTGTTTTCATGGTGTTCCCATTTCCATGTCAGCTTTCCTTACTGGTGGGAGCAAGCAGGTTTCTGGCTCTGTGCTTAAAACCGGTCCCAAGGCAAAGGATGTGGCATCAGTTTGCCTTCACACTTCCAACGTCAGCTGCGTGGAACACTCAGCCAACATTTTCAGCTTTCAACAGCTTTTGTGCTTTTAAAGTACATTCTAGCTGGCCCCTGCTTTGTCTCTGATGGCTGGCTTTCAGAGCTTGTAAACATCCGTCTTGCAGTGGAGTTTTCAGTTCCTATTTTTGAAACAGCAACTTATTTTTCTGCAAAACACAGGTCAAGACATCCTACTGAATCTACAGCAGATTCGCAAACAGGTGCTTACAAGCAGCTGTAAACTCTCCACCTTTTCTCTTCGAACAGAAACCTACAGAAGATTAATTATGTCAGGCCATAAATGCTTTAATAGTTTGTCATGAGTGTATGTTTATGAATTCTAGGTATAGGTTTGTGGATGGCTCCAACCTGTGTTCCAGGTTTCTTCCAGTCTCTTGGCCAGCTGCTGATTCTTGAATATCTCAGAGGATTCTTCTAATTTTTTTAAGCAAGTAAACAAGTTATTGCTTCCTCATAACACCACTCCACCAAACACCCACCCAACAGGAGACCCTTTCCTTTGACAGCTGCTCTTCAATTACAAGAGGCACCAACTTGGAGCAATGGTTAAGAGTAAGGATTCTTGTAGCCATGAGCACAGCTCACTGAACTGCTGGATGTTGTACAGCCCACGAGAGGTTGTGTTTTAAATAAAGACAATCTTTTGACCTCCTCTTCCAAAATTCCATTCTTTCTAAATGAAAACAATTCCCTATGCTGAGCCTGTGCTGGGTGACTCTGTAGCACAGAGGTAAGTGAACGAAAGGTTATTCCAAAAAATACTGAAAGAAGCAGAAATCAAGGACTGTTGTTGATTTTTAGCATAGTATTTATTGAATAGCTTATTTTCTAGAGCCACTTTATCATGTGTCACTGCATATTTAGCTCAGGTGCTTATTTTGAGTGGATAAGGACAAAAAATCCCCCATGGATACACATAGCCAGGGGAGAAATGTGAATATATTAAAAGAAACAAAATAAAAAGTGGTATACTTTATTAGGAATAGCTATATAGATAATCAGATGCTTTGCTTTTTTTTTTCCATGTAAAAAAAAGTAAACTTTCACAAAAGCCTGTTTAGCAAAGCCAGAAGCAGTGTTATTTTAAACAGTTTTATTTACATTGCTTAGATTGGCAAAAAGAGATATAAAAAACAGTGCAGTCTGACACATTCAGAAGCATCACTAGTTACATATAGATACAAGACAAAACACAGGTGGTTAAAAAGCAACCAGAAGCTGTGAACTCCTGCTAATACCGACAGTTGAACTGTTAATGAAATGCAGAAATATACATATTTAGATAGTTCTGGGGATAGCATTGCATTGTACAAACTGTTCAGAGATGAAAGAGGTGAACATACAGTTTTGAAGGAAGACATAAATACAGGAGAAAGCCAGGTAAAAGCCTTAGGAGTACTACACCTGAAATTTGACACACCAGAATTGGACCCTCAAGTTACAATGTCACACCAATAATCCCATGCATTAAATAATGATTCATCAACCAACTATGGGGAAGGTGTGGGGCTTGGGGGTTTGGTTTTTTAACAGCCCTAGTACAAGGGAGTGTAATTCTTTTCCTCAGACTTCTACTTCAAAGCAATTAAAAAGAATTCAATTAATCAGTTTTGGTGGTCAAAGCTCCTCATTGCCTTTAAACTTCCTGTTCATATCACTGTGTGACAGTGAGGCTGCAGGAGACCATAATCACAGAACTCAATTCTATTTAATTATAAACAACTACATTTATAAAATATCTGGAATAAGCAGCTGTACAACAGGTTAACTGTCATACTTGAAAGGTCAGGTACTTCATAATGCATCTCCATTTAAGAAATCCACAATTCAAATATTAGAGTGCTCTGCCAATTGATGAAGTTAGGCAAGCATAAGAGTCATCCCAACTAGCAGTAAATTATGTGATCATCATCTTCATTTCAAAATCTGACAAACCAGTTTATTGCCTAGAGGGGACAATTTCCACAGATGAAAGTGTTTCAGTTATGTTGGTGAGAAAATAAATTTGTGCAAGGGAACACTGAGTTTAAATGAAGGCCAAGTCACTTATTCCACTGATCAGCTGATCTGCTTCAATACAACTAAAACCCCTTGTGATTAACTTAGTGTTATCTAACATTTTGCTAATCATGGCTAAGTGCTAATGACTAAGGTACCATTAATGTCAGTAACAGGTCAGTGACCAGCCAGCTGCTTGTCAGTCACTTCCACACAGCAGTGTCTTTTCAACCTGCTTCATATCAAGTGGGTTGTTGATCGGCTTAATGTGTGACTCCTCCTTTCAAAGATTGAGGGAAGGCTGACCAAGGAAGGAGAAGGAATACCCTGTTGGAGAGGAAAAAAAAAAGTTACTGATCATTTATTAGCCAATGTCAATAGTGCAGTAGTCGTTTCTCAGCCTTGATACATCATACAAGGAATAGGTGAGTGCAGAAGACCTTAAAGATCAGCAGCTTTTGAACTTAACAATTCAGCATTTCTAGGGTTAGAAAAGTTGAACACGTTTTAAAAACTGTGCAAGAAAGATTTTTTCCTTGTTATCAGCCTTGAGAGATTTGGAATGCAAGAACATGTTTTTGAAGAGTAGCTGTTAACTAAGTATTAGCATACATCCTGCATCAATCTTTTTGCAATAATAATCTCCCTCCAAATTGAAGGCAAGATACATTATGATAATCTCTTAGAGAAACAGAGCTCCCCTTAGATCCTACAACTTTCTGTGTTATCATCAGCTCTGAGTCCCAGATGAGATGCTGAACACACGTCTTCTTGGCTGCAGAAGGCAATAGATATCACAAAGATTTGTCAAAGCTTGCTTTAGCTATGCCTGGATGGGCACATACCAGGCAAAAAGCTGACTTTCCTGATGCTGGGAGAATAAGCTGCTTTTGACACTTAAAATTACAGTGAAAACAACACATCAATATGTAGCACTAAAAGTAAACCTCTTTGGATTAGCTGAGATTTTATATTCTTATCACATTAGACCTCAAGATACTTCCACAAGCAATGCTCTGTTGCTCTTTACAGCACAGCCAAGCTTTTCAGCATATCAACAGGTCACAGTAGTTAAGCAGCTCGTGCACTTGCGTGCTTCAAGAATCTTTTAAATAGGGATATTTGGGGCAGGTAAGGATATACCACTTCACTATGAACAAGTCTTATGCCTATTTATGGTATGTCTTCTATTTGCACTCCTAGGGAATATTTGAAAATAAGATCCTAAACTCCTCTTTATAGAACAGCTCTTATTAGACTCTCAAGTATTTTATACCAGATATCTTTTGTATTTATAGATAAGGCTTTTGCCACAGGTAAAATGAGCTACTCAAAACTTCCCTGCAACCAAGTTAAAGTCCTCAGAACTCTGGCTAATGAACTACACTGCAACTTGGACAACTGAACTGAATTGAATTGATCTACAATTCAATTGTAGATAAATTAAAAAAAAAAAAAAAACACAGAAAAAATAGATTTAAAAGGATTTGTGAAAGAATAAAGTTTACACCCAGAACCAAAAAGAGAATTACACCACGTGTGAGTGTTGACTCCAACCATGTGCATTAGGACGTGTCAGAGAAGAGCCCAACACCATTTAAAGCACCCTGTGGCTTCCAGAGTTCTACAACTGTACCGTGCTCTCTTAATTTAGAGGAATCAAGATCTCTTGCTCACTTCAGTCAGGATCTGACGTACACAATTTTTCAGCACCATACTGGTTATTATCTCCAGCATCAGCACAAGTGGTAGTAATAATGGGGATAGGACATCGTCTGTCCAAGGCATGGCCATTTAAGCTTTCCAAGTTGGAAGAGGCTTTTTCTTGTGCAGCATTTGAAAGATGAATATTTGGAGAGCCAGGACACAGCACAGGTCGAGGCTTGGAATTTTGAGAGCTCCAATCAACAGAATTGGAGCGATGAACATGAACAGCACATTTGACAGATCCATTTAGGCTGCACGTAGAAGATGAACGAGCAATCTACAATTAGGAAGAGGTTCAAGGGTTAGTCCAAACAAGAAAAATAACAAGCATCCAATCTTTATTGATATTTTTACTCTATCATTCTTTCTACACCAAAAAATTTCCACATAAGCACAGGCCAGGATTTAGTTTCTTACTCAACAACTGCATTGGTATTCCAACTTGAGGGGCTGGAATCCAAACCCCTTGTCCCCTCAGTCTTATCATTCAACCAAAAAGGCTTTATGCAAGTTCAGTGGCGTGTGGAATTGGTTAAAAAAAAAAAAAAACAAAACACAACAACACAACACATGACCTGCTGCCAAGCTGCAGCTTAATACCACAAAGGTCCAAGAACTGTGGGAATAAACTGGAACAGGAACATAGTTTTACTACTGTAAGTTTCTATAATTTTGTGGGAAAGAAGTACTTTTGTCTAGGGTAGACATACACAAAGATAAAAGTACATTACTTGCAAATTCATAAGAACAGATACGGTGCTGTATCAAAATGAAGACAATTAGAATGCAAAAACAATTGTTGGCATAATCATAATAAAAAGAGAAAAATCTCTCTCCAGAGAACTGGGCTATAGCCCCACTGGTGGTTTTCTTTATTTCCTCTAAAGCAAGGGAGTCCACTGTGATCCTTCCTCCCTTATTAATTCCTATTTTCTCATGTGGGGGAGCAGGGCAATATCTTTATGCTGTACAATTTAATGGACGCTCAAACATACTGAATTATCTCAATATTAAGGTATTGACATATTAGGCAGGTAGAAAGACGAACAGGATTTCCCTTTCTTGGCCCCTCATCCTACAAAATACAAAGTAGGTGTTTACTCATCAGATTTACTCAAACACTAAAATAAAAGCAAAGATGATGAAAAAGTCCTCCACACCTAGTCTGCTTTACTAGATTATACTGGAAAATTGAGTTTGGTCTAATGTAGCAGAAGAAAGCTGCAACAGGCAACGAGGCATAGCAGAAGAGTTGCATTATGTAGAGCAATATATTATTTTACCGAGTTTTCTTAAATATATATAAGGAGATAATTCCCTCAACTTTTTAAAAACTTGTACACTGCAGCATCTGTATTTCTCTACCCTTACAAACAACTCTTTCCAGTTGTTTGGTTTTTTGGGTTTGTTGTTTGTTTTTTTTTTCCACAAGATGTCTGTCATCTCACTACTTTGATTGAAATGTTCAACATGTCATTCAGGGTTGTACACCACATTTTACACAGTGTTCAAAATCAAAAGCATGAACCAACATAAGACACCGAGTTGAAACTTTCTCACTCTCAGGAGAGGGAACATATTCCATTCCTTGGCAAAAGAGATTGGTGGGGTTTTTCAGCTTAATTATACGTGGCTATTCCCAGTTTCTAGTCCATCCAGTAGAGTTTTCTGCCTTTTCAGCATGTAAGACTTCTCATTAAAGAGCTCTTGAAAATAAAACATCTATGAATGTAGATAAAATTAACTTTTTTTTTCCCCCTCACTGTGGATCTTGAAGTTGTTCAAGAAAGATCAGCACCAGACATTAAATACCTGTGATCTTAAAAAGGCGACTTCTTTGGCCTGCCCAGCCAAGTCACTCACCGCTAACGACGACGTGCTCGTCAGGCGGCTGCCGATGTAACCCTCGTTAGCTGAGCTGGGACTCCTTCCCTCTGTGGCACTGTGGGACATCAAAGCCCTTCGGAGAGCTCGCTTAGGTGTTTTTGAGAAAGAGAACGCTCTTGTAACCTGAGGAGTTTGACAAGCAGTTACACACTGACCAAAAGCAGGCTGTAATGACTACTACCATACAGGCTACTAATCGAATCTTGACCATCCACAGGATGTGTATCAAACGTTAATATGCCTGTATCACACTGCCAAACACACACACCCAAAGTGGTCTGGCTTTGAAAGGCTCCACATCATCCTTGCTCTTCTCACTCTGTCCAAATATGATAACATGGCAGGGGGACAGTAGAGCAGAGATTGAGGGAGAAGTCAAAATAAGATCTAGTCAGCTAGGCTTCCCCACATCCCTTGGTCCTGCAAAGTCAGGCCCCCCTCCTTCAAGTTTCTCTCCATTTTGTATTTTTTTTTAAAGATTTGAAGTATTAAACAGAATAAGTTCCACAACGGACTCAAAAATTACTACATAATACTTATGACTGTAATACTTAAGACTATATACAGATATTCCAAAACCTTAAACACTTCTCACCTCCTTTCTTTAAGGAGCTTATACTTAAGAATTTTAGTTCAGATTAAGTTTTTCGTGTCACTACTGTAAGCACTGCAAAACACTTAAAATAGGAATACTAGCACAAGTCTCTGACTAATCTGGCTTTATAGTATCCATCTGTATAGTATCTTACCTTTTTGGATGTTTTCTTTATTGCCCTGGATGCTCTGCTCAAAGTACTGTCCATATCTTTAGTATTTACTTCAACTGAGTCAGGGTCAGCAGTGTAAATGAGATTTTCCTGTAGACAAAAACAGTCTTAATGGTCAAACATCAGCATTTGTCAAAATATAATTTTCCAGTTCATTAGATCAGATTTAGAAGTTTTAATTGCCATATTCCTCCATATTTAACTTTTCATATACAGTTCAGCAACTATTTGTCTTCAAGACATTTCATTAGATAAACTGCTGGTGCAATCAGTTTGTGAAACCAATTCATCAGTAGTTTTACATTTAGTTTGCCTGATTCAGTTTCAAGTCCAGGGTTGATCAAATTGAAGGCAGTAGTAGTTCTGGAGCATCCCTAGGGAGCTTACAAGATAAACACCAGTTTGTTTCACTGACACATCTAGCACACTTCTGAAGTGAAATCTTGATAGCTCCAGCTGTCAAACATTAAGTCTTTCAGCTTAAGGGCAATACATGCTGCAGAATAGCCAGAAGTTTTGGAGTTTTTTTCATGCCTCATTCCTGAACTCCAGCAAGTGCAAAGCAATCTTTGGGTACCTACTTACAAAACTTGAGGGGCAGGGGAAGCACAAATGGGAGTGGGAAGTTGCTAGGGTGATTTTTTTTGCTGTTTTGTGTCTATATTTTGAGAAAACATAGTTTACATAAAATTTCAAAAGTACCCCAGACAACAGCTGTGTGGTTATTCCCAGGGTCTAAAAAAAGAGTAGTCAAAGCCTTTGCTGCCACCAGGTGGCAAAGTCAATGTTATTTCACTCTCACATGATGCTATATAACTTTTTAAAACCAGGCAAAAGTGCTTAAATTGAAGCTCAGTTTGACATTGAAATCAGCAAGAAAGTATTATATAGCTGGTACAAAGCAGTAGTTACAGAAATTATAACTAATGGATTCAGCATAGTAGGTTACAATTTGTCAGCATATGATTCTGAATGTCTTAGGGAATGATACATTTATTACATAAAGATTTAATTTCTATTAAAAAATCCAAGTTACATCTAACACAAGAGACTGAAGACAGACAACTAACAGATTTAAGTAATTTAACACTTTAAAATCAGTACTTTTACTACTCAGTACCTAAAAAGGAAGGAAAACCACAAAGCCAAGTCTCTTATTCCTAAGTCCCTAGATCACAAGACAAACTAAAACTGTTTTCATTACTTAGTTACCTTTCCTGCAACAAGAATGTCTTTAAAAATCACAACCAAATATTGTAACGTAAGAGTACACTGCAGAACATAAACCATTTCTAGTCTAAGCCAAGTGTTTCAGTTATATGTACTGCACACATTTTCAGCAAATTTAGATGACTGATATGCATAGACTTTTACATAATTAAAACATCAGCTGAAAGCCTCTTGCCCTAATTGGTGAGGGTCTTGTCTTCAAATCAGTGGTTTTCTGGCTGTGGAAAGCCCACGCACTGAACTTCTAAAAATGTGATGAGGTCAGTGTCTCCTTTATTTCATTGTTTTCTTTATTTCCTTGCTTTAAGGTTGTAGGCTTCTGTCTATAGGAGGGAGATGCTTCATGTCTCTTTATATTACAGTGCTCATACAGATAAGGTGCAGAACAAAGAACTCAATCTAACTCACAGTTAAACCAAACCAAATGATTCATAATGCTGGGATTGTAAATTGAAACATAGCTGTGATAGAAGAAAGCTGAATACAACTCATTAGGTCTACAGTGTAGAGTTTAAATTATTTATAATTAATTTGTGATGGTGAAAGGGTATGATTCTTGATTTTTAAGTACTTACTAGCTCCTGCAGAAACTAACTTCCAGGCTGTTTTTCCTTATCCACCCTTTAACCACTCAACTGCAGACATGCTAATGTTTTCTGCTCTACTTCACCTCAAGCATGTCCACTATTACACTCTTCAGCTTCATGTGCTTAAAACCAAAAAGAGAAAAATATTTCCAGTCAGCAACATGATTCCGGAGCACTTACTGCATCTGCTTTGCAAATAGTGTTGGCCACGTGCCGACACAACGTCTTCAGCCAGTCCTCCTTGCGAGGTTCTTCAGTTGTCATCTGGAAACTGAGCAGCTTGTTGTTGAGTTCTGTAGGTGGCCGCACAACCAAGGCAAAAGCTTTCTGGCAGTCTACAGTTTATGAAAAAAAGCAGGGGGTTAAGACAGAGAATAATAAATTTTCACATAATTTAGGAAAGAACCTTCAGAAGGGTTGATCCATCTGCCAGGAGCTGGAGGTACAGACAGTGTTATTTGGTGCAATAATTTTGTCTTTATTTACACAACAGCTGTTGTATCTCTTGCAAGAGCACAGAGCTCTGTCCATAGCCATCATCAAGAGTCTGCAATCAACTGTTCATGCAACAGTTTATTCTCAAAAAAAATCTGCCTACTCTAGACTGCAGACTAAGCAGCCTCGTGTTTACTACCTACCGTCTTTGCAGTTTCTTTTTTTAGTTGGGTTTCTATGTCCAGGTGCTTCAGAGAACACAAAGCAGAACACATGACATGCATATCATCACTTACAGTGAAACACTGAATCTTTCTTTCTAGGATATAGATCTAGAAACTGGTCTGACTAGGCTTCTTTGTAAGTCTCTATTCAAGGCTGGAGCAGGATGGCAAAGCAAACAGAGAAATCAAGTCATCTAATTCTACCTTTTAAGATGCCAAGCACAGCTCCCCCTGAGCATTATCAGCATTAGTTAAATGAAAATCTGGTTTCACACCAACAGCACTTGTCTCTGGCCAATCTAATGCTCTGGGCTGGAGTTTGGGTTTCTGTTTTGTAAATCCAGAGCTGTCAAGCGTTTAACTGTTTAACTCACCCTGCCATTTGGTTGGCTTACTCTAAGGCCATCTGCCAAATTCAGTTGCAGTGATTCTTGAAAAGCCAAAAGGTATCAGTGCAAGAAATTCTCAAGCTCACACAGAACTTCAAAGAGAAGCTTTACTAAAATCACATACATAACATACCATACAACAAATACACCTGCATTCTATCCCACAGCAGCTGAGCTTCATCCTTCATACTCTGAAATAATTTTCATTAGCTACCACAGCACTTCAAAACACACAGACCTTCCGTCTCTCTAATGTCCAGGACCTTCTTGATCTGGGAGAGGGGCATGAGAACAACATGCTTGAGAGATGCAGGAGGCCTTGTGTGGCCATGTGGACTCTTGAAAGCTCCAATGACTTTATGCCGTTTCCTCGCGATCTGCAGTTAAATAGAAGAGAAGGAGTCAGAGCTGGAAGATCTCTTGGCATTGCTTCCTTTTTTTATTCTTTTACCTTCTACTATACAGGAAGGCACAGAAAATCTTGCTACTGAGAATATTCTAAAGATTATTTTACTCTATTTACCACATAAATATTAAAGAAACTCACTTATCTCACTATTCGCTGTCTACAGTTCAAGTGACCAACAATATTTGTTACTTAACATCAACCCACTCAGCTGAAAAATAAAATAAATTTAAAAAAAAATATCTAGAGGGGAAATAATTTTGCACTACAGACCTCTATTCTACCCTGCATAACAAATAAGGGCCCTTTGAAATCTAGCACAAGGAAGTCTAGATTTAAACAGAAAAGACAACATCTATATGCATGAACCATTTTAAGATGTGATGTGTTATGTTCTAGAAACATCTGTAACTTATGCACGCAGACATTGAGTGGGCTTTGTGGTGGAGGTTGGTCATTTTTTAGTTCACATAAAAAAAACATGCAAGATACCTGTGTGATAAAGTAAGGCATCTTCAGTTGCTTGTCTCTTGTACAAGAGACAAGCCAAGAAGCTTTAATAAAAGGGGGTTTATTTTCCTTTCCTTCCCTTACAAAAAGCAATAAAGCTGAGTCAACTTGACTCCCAGGAAGAGTTCCTCACTAGTCACTACAACAGGCTTTTGTCTTCAAGTGCTGTTTAATACAGCGCTAATTTTGAATTATTTTAGAGTTGATCTTTTATGAAGACAATTTTCTGCTGTCGACAGTAACAAGAACATTCATAAGGTGTCCTTTACAACTTCAAGTTTCTCCACACGAGTCTCCAAAACCCAGTTAGATTACTTTTCTCTCCAGTTCTTCCTACTAGAAGAGTAGGATTTTCAGTCTAAGGCATTTAATATCTGGATTTTTTTTGGTAGCCCAAGCACAGACAGATCTATGCCAGAGGCCCACTATTTACTTCCATTAAATATGACTAAACTTTAAAAAGACGAACAATCTGCTGAGCCAAGGACTCCAGCACTCTTTCATCCATTGGTACTACTCAAAGTCCTATTCAGATAAACATTTATTTCTTCACATATTAAGCTGCTTTTATATTTTTGCTCTGGCTGCAAGACATTAAAGGCTACATTAACACCTCTCAACCATTCACATATGACTAGCTACTTGTGTTGGCTTATACAATTGCTAATGGAAAGGCACATGTTAAACTATCAGCAATCTGTGACTTCTACTTCAAAGGTTCTTAAATTTTACTTATTTATATTCATGTGTAGTGTCAAGCCTTCTTTAACTCAGTTCATGAGAGGTACTTATACCATCATCTTACCTCTAGGCAGTCATTGAACAGAAAGAGTGTGACCTGTTCTCCCCTGTCACAGAGGTCATCACCAAGTGCTATGGTTTCCAAACGCTGAACTAAGCTTCGGTGAGAGGACAAGAGATTGGCCTGAGTGACACAAGCAAAAATCTCATTAAGCACTTAGTTCAAGGGCTGGATTACTGCATGCTTACAGCTTAACACTGGAAATCTGTTTAAACCAGCACCACTGCAGTGTAACCTCACCCACTTTCACAAAGGGAGCAAAGAAGTGTGTGGTCATTTCACGGGTTTGCAGCTTCAGAGAAGTTACTTACAGGACATCCATCAACTTCATAAACAACGTCAAAGAACTGCCTTTGTGCCTCTGTTTTTCTTTTGTCTTCATTAATATGCCTAAGGAAAGTATATTATATTTATCTTCAATATCAAGCAACAGTAAGTGAATGTACTGCATTTAAGACATACAAAAGTAAAAAAGTTAATAAAGCTAAACATTCAGAGATAGTTTACACAGCAGCACTGAAAAAAACAAAATCAGCCACACTTGCCCAAATGCCACACGTAAGCACAGAGGAAACTTCAGACCTACAACACTGTTCTTGTCACATTACCAGCAGCTGACCATCCAGTTAATATAGAATTCCCCTCCCATGTCCTATAAAATTTGAACTAGAGACTGATACAATGCAGTTCTTTGCAGCCTGCATTTTATCCCCCCAAACAGGACTGCAGTTCACCAAGCAGCAGATGTAAGAATAATTGCAATTTAAAAGTTGTTGTAGTTAAAACTGTACATTTACCCAATTAATACAGGAGGTCTCACTTCTGGAGATGTAGACTGTACTTCAGAAGAAGCGAGACTTAATCTGAACAACTTCAGCTTTAAGCTAATTAATTCATGGAACAGTGCCAAGAAGAGCTAATACAGGACTAGAGGAGAAATTAATCTCCCACCAATAGCGTGTCCTTTCAGGGGATACACGCAGAGAAGTAAGATGTAAAGACAAAACCCTTCTCTTCCATTCTGGAGGGAACAGATAGAAATAAGAGTTGGAACAGAACAGAGGACTCGCGAGGTTCAGCTCCCATCTGAGGCAGGGAGTCAGCAGAGGTTCAGGTACAAGTGCTGAGTAACAACATCAGACTCCTACAGAGCTCTGGCACAGAACACCAAAGTAACAACAGGGGCCAAAGGGAGGCTGAAGAACAAATAAAGTTATATTTACTTAGTGTTACTTATGGCAACAAAACACTAACAGCAATTTAAAAGGAACAGAGATATCAAAATGCGTAACAGCGTGTTTCTATAGAATGAGCACAACTTACGTCATCACTTCCTTTAATGATTCAATAGCTCTCTCTAGAGTTATTTTATCTGGGTTCTCTTCTGCTGTATGTTTCTTAATATCTACAATTAAAGAAAAAAGAAACAAATAAGAACTCCTCCCACGTTACAAGTGTCTGAAAAGAAATACAAAAAACTCAGGTTTAAACTGTAAGTCAAATAAAATGACTGAAGAAATCACATCTATCCTGGAGACCAAATAGCTCCGATGAAGTGGGGAACTAGGCTGAGAAGCAATTGTCTTGACATCTCATTAAGAAAAAAAACTATATACAATACAAAAACGAAACCATTAAGCTATTCAAAATAAAAAAGATCAAGTTGAAGTGCAGAGACAAGCATAGAACTCTTTCTACCTGAAGCAAAGGGTGATGGTGTGGATTTTTTGTTATTATTTTTATTAACTTAATCATTATTACAGCAAGTGGCTGATACTAGGTAGAATATATGAAACTGTAAGCATTGTCAATGTCAATTGCTCTCTAGTTTATATTAGTTTCGTTTGAATCTCAGTTATATACTTGTTTGAAGAGACAGAATTTTTGTCAATGCAAACTCTTCCTTTACCTGTATCAATATATCACACAAATATGTGAACGAATGGAATTTAGTCAAGAGAATGCTTTCTGCAGTAGTGGGTCTCACTGACTACCAGCAAGCATGATTAAGTCACATAATCACACTTGTTTTATACAATAAAAGCAGTTGCTAATAATGACAAAAAGTAGACATTATCTCAGTTTTAACACCTTCACAGACAAATTAATAAAAATTACATCACTAGATTACCATTTAGTAGTAGAGCAACACTGGGCAGCCTTTGAACAGGACGGATAAGGAGTTCAGCTAGACTTTGGCGGCCACACTCAGGTTTAGCTTGATTTATCTGGGGAAAAGAATGGGCAGAAAGTAAGAATTATTTCCTTTTTTTAATTATTATTCTTACAGACACACACAAAAAAAGCATGAGTTAGGAGAAACATTATCTTCCTTGAAATTAGCATTGCTGTACGAGTTTGAGAATTGTTTACCACAAACAGTCATTAACAGACAATGTTAAAAAATACATTATATTCAAAACTGGTCAATGGTTTATGTTCTCAGTATGTCTAGTTTTAAAGTGTCCATATCAATCCCCTAGTCCTCATTTCAGGTGCTAATGTGGAGTGGGACAGGGGATGGCCTGTTCTCTTATTCATTCCCCATCTTCTAGATGTCATTACTCGGGATGCAATTCCTAGTCCCTCGGAAAACACAAGCTGAAATCTGTCAGTTTGATTACTTGATTATTTGAGAGACTTTTGGATACAGGAGTTAAAGCTACACTGTACTATTAATCAACTGTACACACATATCTGAAGAGCTCTAGTCTTAAGACTCATCTTTCTTTGAAGATCATCTTCCTGTTAGATCTCCACTGCTCAGCTCCTGTTCATTAATCACAAGAATGCTGAGAGATTCTACCTCTCTGGAGCTTCACAGCTGCCCAAAGCAAGCTAAAAGCTACTTCAGAAATACAAGTCTTGCAAACACAGAGAGAATCTGTGAAAGCAGCAGCTCTAGTTATCTTTACAGAAAAGAGAAGGCGTGCATTGGAGGAACTGTTTCCAGCAACAAATGCATATAATCAAACTACCTTGAAAGCTGTTTAACAGAGGAGGAACTCAGACCTCTTATGAAAGAATTTTATGAGAAGCTTGAGAGACGGAAGTTCAAATCCTTCCTATTCCTGTGTCACCAAGAGACGTTCATATTCCTCCAAGTTTTCAAAATTTCACATTCTTCTATCTACTGCATTAAGCAGTACATGGTAATGGCCCCCATGTTCTACTTATAGACTTAGTTCTGCAGGCACTTACCTTTAGAAAGGCATGAAACCTTGGCTTCTGCTTTTCACATCTTGTAATAGTCTCTTTGCTCATTTCAAAGAAATTCACAAATGGAGGGTATGTTTTCAACAAGTCTTTTGACTGAAAGAAACAACTGTTAGGGCTCCGCTTTCCATATTATGCAGCATTGTACATATGCTCATATGCCCTGAGCCATACAAAGCTGCTCAAAGGCACATTTCAATAAAGAATAATAAAAAATGTGTTGTAAACCCATGCGTGCTCACAGAACAAGTTAAGACATTTTTGCATGCCAGATGCCCAAGATTCAGTGCTGCTGATTAAATGCAGATTGTTCTCACAAGCATCAAGCATACATGTGACAATCTTAGATGCTGCTGGGCAGCTTAAGTGGAAAGCAGATTCTCACCTAGCAAGAGGCTTTTGGTGAGAATTTTGGAAGTTTCAGACAGGTATTTTCTCCAGTTAATGCAATCACCTTTAGAAGACACCAAACCACCAGAAGCTATACCTTAGACTAAAAACTTTTGAATGACAAGCACAATATAACTCAAAATCATCAGGTCAGCAAAAGCACAAGATACCTAGCAGACTATTTATGTTAAAATGCAGTCCCACACGAGCTTTCCTGTTCTACACATTCTGTACGTGACAAAACAAGGAGTCCTTATTCACTTGCACATTCCAAGTCTTGAAGAAAGAACATGAGAAGTTTTCCTGAAAAGTAATTTTCCTAGTTCTTTATTATTGATCAGAGGCAGCAGATAGCCGAGGGTACAGGAAGTGCCTTTTAATGTCTGAGTAAAACCCATGTCTGTAGTGTTGCAAATTATAGTTCTCAAACTGTAGCTATTTGTAGTTTGCTCATACCAGCAGACAGACACATACAGTCCAGGTCAAGTTTCAGTGTATCATCTAACTCAACTGAAAAGGCTAAGCAAAAAATACAATGATACAAGTTGGAGTTTTTTCTCAGTAGTGCTTTTCTTGTGTTTGGTGGCTCCTACAAGTGGATTGTTTGTAAGGCAAGATAATAGTTCTAAGCATAAAAAAAAGAAACAGGAACTTACATATTTAAGAATGATATCACCGATACTTTTGCTTTCAGTCCAATTTATCATAAGATCTTCCAGGTCTTCCTAGAATACATGCAGGAATGGGGAGGGGGGAAGAAAACAAGCTGAGCATGAACTGCATAAAGCTGATGAACAGGATCAGTGTTCTGCCAAACACATACAATTAGGTGAGTTTTCATGCTGACAAAACAGACAATCCTAAAAGCTGTACAACTTCATGTTCAGCCCCTCCAGTCTACTGAGGGCTGAAAACAAGAATCTCTCGCTTACTGAATATATGGTTCTAAATCAATGCAGGTAGAGCCTGGCAGTGTATTAGCACAAGTCAGCTATGCAACAGGATGACACTGCTGCATCCAACACACAATAGAACATATCCCAAAGGAATACTAAAAAAGGATACACAGAAGACAGTTGACCCAATTCTAATTAAGAGTGCACAACTAATCTAGGACTTTTAAGTCCATAAGATAGGATTGAAATAGAACTAGCATCAATCTCCTCACTTGCTACACCGGGGTGTAAAGGAAAGTGAGACCAAGCTGTTAAGCCTGTATCAGCTTGATAAGGATCAAGCTTATTCTCTGTCAGTTAATAACAGGGACAGGAGGACACAGCTGAAGGTTCAGGATTCAACTTAAGTGAAAAGGATTAATCATTAATATTGTTTTGTTGCTGCTCATATCTTTATGACACCAAGGATGAAGGAAAGCACAACTACACTTAAGCAACTCTCCCTAGAGTGCATGCTGCAGTGAATCCCACCTGGCACATGGACACACATGTTCTATTTTCATCTCAGTCTCAGTGGGCAAACATCAATACCCAGTGTGAGTAACCAGACTGGATCCCAGCAGATGGAAAATAACCAACAAAAAAACTCCCACAAACAAACCACTGAGTTGCAGGAGGTCTGCAAGTCTCTCTATTTTAAAAGCCTACCGTGAAATGCAGCCAGGAACAGACATATGCCACGATTTGAAAGAGATGTTATGGATCCATATTTGAGGAAGATTTACATCATAGTCTATTGTGGGACCCAGAGATGGCTTCAGAGAGCACTTGCAATCCAAATCCAACTATAAACCCTCAAGAAAACAATCTAGGGAATTCTAATGAGCTCTTGTTAGGCCTCAGTACCACCAGGTCAACTCTTTCAGAGGTTGAAGTACAAGACAGTTTAATGGGCTGGTAGTTTCTGACAATTGACTCAAAGCCATTTAAGGAGGGATTAGTATTTCCTACCAAACAATAGAAGTTTCCTTATGCAAACATATTTAAAGCCAAGGAAAACACCAAATTTTTGTTTTGTTGCTTTGGGGTTTTTTTCTTTTTAATTGCCTAGATTTAGCTATCCTTCCAAGAGTCCTTGCTTACAGCTTTAATAGAAAGGTACCTGAACATTTGTGAGTCGAATTACAATTTCATACCACTGGGCCTTTTGACCAGTTTTGTATCAGTTACAGAAAACCTCCTACAGAAAAAGGTATTGAAATGGGGAGAAGGGAAGCCAGTTCATGAATGTATTAGTTACATAATATCAGACTTCAGATATTTTAAAAAAAGCATTAAAACTTAAAGAATACTTTGGATTTGCACGTAATTCCATAGGTTGAACAGGTTGTAACACCAGGTAGAATCTACACCTGTCCAGCAGATGCAACTGAAAACATGCAGAAAAGATTAAAAGTCTCTGTGAAAGCCTCCCCTGCAGGGGAGAAGTTGCAGCTTGCCTTGATTTTAGTGTGCACATCAAGAATATCTGGAATGCTGCCGAATATGGTCTTAATCTCTTCCTGTGCAAGGATTGGTCCCCCAAGTTGTCCTTCCTTCTCCAACGGAACTTGAAATAACTGATGAATTAAGAGAAAAAACATTAATGCCCTCCCCACTGCCAAACACTGTGTTAGAAAGTTATAAAAGCAACAGTGTTTTCTTTCCAGTTCAAAATTTCCTGCAGTCACAAGCTTGAGATGCCCCCACTTAGCCAGAGTGGGTTATGGAGGAGTGGTTTTAAGATACAAACATCTAGTTTGATATATTGCTACAGCGTAAGCCCCTTTCATCTCCTTTTCTACTCACACACATCTTGGCTCATTCTTTAAGCAGATAATCAGCTGCAATGAAAATAAACTTTCAAGAAATTAAGCTCTTCCTGTAAGTTGTTTGCTATTATGCCCTTCTTGAAATAATTTTAAAAAAAGGTTTTCCCCCCTGCCATCTGTCTCTATTCACTAATATCTAAAATATCTGAGTTGTGAAGATCCTATTTTCCCAACACTTGCAATTTCCATACAAATTGCAATTCCACTGCAGATGCCAGATTAGAAATTGCATTTTCCAACTCCTATTATTAACAGACACTAAACATTTTTATGTTTGAAAAATTACATGAGACTGTTTACATTGTCATTTTTCTACGAACCTTTGATGCATCCAAGCCCCCCCCCCAAAAGCCTGGAGATCACAAGTTGAAAACACTAATTGATGTGAACACTGGATGTCTTATCACAATTGACCTGGACTTGCTTTAAAACCAGCTTACCTGAATGATTGTTGTTAGAATATCAACATAGTTACTTTCTGTCTGATACAATTCCTTTGCAACCTGCCATCTTGCAGACTGCTTTAGTGGAAGAGGAGTTGAGTTTTTGGAAGGCCTTGCACAGGATTTTGGTGTTTCTGATGAAGAGATATTCCAAAAGAAAAGAGAGCTTTATTACAAAAGTCCCTAAAAAAAGCTCAGTCTTGAAGACAAGAAAAGACACATTTCAGAATTTTTAAGTGAAGATAAGTTTGTTTTTTTTTAAAAGGTTATTTTACAGATTATTCTATAGTTATCAGGGCTCTTGCTAGAAAATGGCTTTCTTTATTACAGCTTAATTATAGAACAACAGTAATATATTATTCCTCAAAAGTAGACTGAAACTAATAAGCCATTTATGGTCAGGTCAATAACTTGACCCTATTATTAGTACTTCATTTAGTAGGAAGTGATGATTAGGTGCTGAACATTATTTACCCACACACTACGTGCAAAAGTACTTTCCTACTTTCACTTTGCCATGAGAACAATTGTCTCTCAGAAGCCTACCATCCTTGCATGAGGTGTGTATCACAAAACCTTTTGTTAAAATCAGTCCTTGCATGAAACACATCTCATGTGTGGGGGAAAGACACAAGAGGTAAAGCCAAAGAGCAGTTCATAAGTTTTAAATGCATATTTATGTATTGGACCTCACAGATCTATACTGACTTTTTTGGATATCAAAGTTCATTACTGTCACAGTTACTATGAAATAAGTACCTTACCTGTTGTTTCCAAAACACCACATTCTGAGACTGTCTGCTGCTGCTGGATTAGAAGAAAACTCCATACCAGGGGTAATAAGAGTGCTAGTGTCATCTAAGACTGATCTTTCCTGAGTTCCTTCTGTATTATTACTTAGAGGTTGTGCCTCATCAAGAGTTCTTATTTGATTTAATTTTGCCTCTTTAAGGCAGTAGTAGCTCCAGATACTTCCTCTCTGTGATGGAACTGGGGCTTTTTAAAACACTTGGGTATTAGCATTTGATTTATCTAAAATTCTGCAGTTCCTCTCTTCCACAAGAACCACATGCAGAGATATTAAAACTTTGTCCATTCACTAAAAACCAGTTGATTACTTATATTCCTGGGAAATTTTAAACACGACAGTTTGCTGACACAAACAGTGTTACCTCAACAAAACATCTCAAAGACCTAGGAGTGGGCTCTGCAGGAATTTTCCCTTTAGTTCCTTTAGAAAAGAATCTTTGTCCTCCTTCCTCCGAGTATCCTACTGGAGAGTATTTTAGATTATTTACTGTTGACTATGTTGCTTATTTGCTACAGACTTCCAGCAGAGTATTTCAAGCATTTTGGAATAACACTGGACTGTACTTCCTATTTATCAAGTCTATACCATTTCCTTCAGATATGAATGTGCTTACTGTGATTACAAGAGGCCTCTGTCTGAACTCTTCACTCCAATTCTTTCTGCACACTTCGAAAAGGCAAAAGCCTGGATTTACTCAGCAAATCTTTAGCAAAACCTGTAAGACTTCCCTTCCACTACCATTTCTGCTTGTATGCAAGAGCTCTTTAACATTCTGTGTCTCAATGGCAGTTTTTAGCTCTACCTCCATTGGTAGTGCCCGACTCTGGAGTGTTGGAAATATCCAGCAAGGACCCAATGGAGAGTGAGTGTTCAGCTGAGGGGCGTTTCCGGGGAGGGAACGGGGACACGTCTGTTTCCCTGGTCAGCTGTGCAAGAGTCTCCTTCAAACGGCGCCTTTTGCGGTTGCTGTTTGGAGTGTTCAGGGAAAGCAGAGACACAGACTTCTTGAAGTCAGGACTCTCTGACTGCAGTAAAAGAAAACTCAGTTTAGTGGTTTTATCCGCTGTGTCCAGCTCAACTCAGTGCAAAGACAAGTTAATTGCAGAGATCAGCACACAACACAAAAAGAAACTTCTTAGGAGAAGCTGATGGAAAATGAGTGAAGTCTGGGTTTTTTTCCCCCCTTTTTATACTCAAAACCACAGTAGTATCTTGTTTGACTTCCCACCTTTGGGAAGCAGAAAAAGGTTTTTTCCAAATTATCATTCTATGTATAAAATTTCTAATGGATTATCTGGAACTTAAACGCTGCACTAAAACGTCTGATCTCTGGCCCCACACATACTACCATGCATGCTAATTTTACCACCAAATACATTGTGGAAGAGAGTTCAACATACCTTCTCAAATAAATACATGGACTCTCCAGCTCTGGCATCCATTTGAATGCTTCCCCAAAACCACTAAAGGAAAAAGAAAACACACATTAAGAACACATTACAGAGCTTCACCCAAAGTTTAAAATATTCAAAATAGTATATAATAGTAGCACAGTTGGTACAGGAGTTATTTTTTTCAGAATAAGCCACTTGTCTGCATTTACCACATAAAGTACTACACAGCAGGATTCTTTCAAGAATTTCCAGCACTAACCTCTTGCTTTACAACATAAAGTTTTCCTAAAGGTTCAAATGGAAGATCTTTTACTGTACTTTCTTCAACCACTAAGTGTGTACATCTTTCATCACCAACAGGTAAATAATGTCCTCCTAGATTAAAAAAAAAAAAAAAAAAAAGGCAAGTTAGCAAGAGCAGAAATATTATTGTTACAAGTTAGTATCTCACTTGATAGTTCTGTGGCAACTATCATTATCATAAACTCCACCCCATTCTTCACACAGGTCAATTTTCATAAACAACCTTGCATTTCTGTCATTTCTTCCATGTTAGCTTTCTCATCATCAGAGAATCCCAGGAAACTTAACATGCAATCTTGGAAGGGAGGAACCTTGAACCGACTTCTAAAGTCATCATCGGCCGCACAGAAATCACTGAAAGAAAAAGGATGCACAAAAAAGTCACTAAATCAGTGCTATGGCACTATTCAAGCAGAAGCTCACACACTGCAGGTGAACAGGATGCAAGGTGAAGGCTGAAGGAAAAGAAACACCTACATTTCATTTCTTTTCTCCCAGGCCTTATAAATCCATTCAGTTTTCATGATAGGAACACCAAGGCTTACAGCAATCTACAAAACAGGAAAAGCATAAGTTGTACCAAGTATTTCCATTTAAATCTTTCCCATGTCAAGAAAAATTTGTAACCTTCCTTTTACTTTTCAAGACAGATATTGCAAAAAGTGAATATACTCCTTCAAGAATTATATCCAACTGCACTCAGAGCTAGAATGTATGAATTCACCAAGTAAGAGATCAGATCAATAGCTCTTTTGACACTTACTCAAAAGTGCACCATTTTGTTAGTCTGATATCCTTCATCACTCACAAAAACACAAAATCAAATCTCTGTTCCAGGGGAATATGGGATCTCTTTTCTGCTTTTGATACTCTGTATGAAGACAAACATCCCAGACTGCTTTATCAAAGAGAAAGCGACTCTTCCAAAGGTAACTGTCATGACTGAGAGATTGGAGAGTTTTCATACTTTTTTCCCTTTGAGTTGGCAGAAAAGAGTGTTTGAACAGAAAGTAGGACTTCTCTTCCAACAGGAAGTTTAAAAAGAAACTAGAAGAAAAAGCAACAGCCTCCTAACAATTCAAACAAGGGAGAGGCAAGAGTCAGACACTACAAAAACATATTAAAATTTATTTTCTTCTAAACCAAACATACATGTCCTGAAGGAGTCCCTTTTCATATCAGAAAAAGCACACTCATGTCTATTTATACATAAAAGAAGACTTGAATCCTTATCCATGAGTTAAAAATCATTTTTAAAGAAGTTATAGTAAAGTTTATCGCAAGTTACCTTGAAGTTTATTGTTTGGACAGACAAAAAACAGACACGTTGATACATAAACACTTGTTCCTCAGTGTTTTAAGTACTGGTAACATCAGTAGTTAAACATTTTGAATCTTGTTATTTATGATACTTGTCTATTTCCAAACCTGTGCATTCAGGCAATTTATGTCATTTAGATCTCCAACAGAGAGAAAAATATGCCAAAGCTCAACACCAGATGGAGATCAACTCACCATTACAAGTTATTGCTGTTAGTACAGGAAAAAACAGCAGCTTAGGAGCTGAAGTATAATTAACAAACTCAGTCTACAATAGCCAAATTCCAAAAGTTTCCATGAACTCAAGCTTACATACTCTGAATTTGTCTCCATGTGTTGAGTTCGCCACCAGGTGTGTAACTTTTGAGCTGAAGTCCCTTCGAATAATTCCACCCATATGATGAACCAAGGTCACCAGCTTAACCTGAAAAATAAAGATGAAAGTTTTTGAGTATTTTTTGAAGAGTGAGAGCAGCATAAAAAGCAGTTTACAAAGCAAGCTACAAAAGGTTACATTAAATGTTTAAGAATAGAAATACTCTGATCTGTTCTTAAAACAACTTGTTCACATCTGCAGGAGAAGATACAGTTGATATGTCAAAAGAACTATTAACATCTCTTTTTATTTCAACATTTAATACAGCCTCACTATGTTGTTTGAAGAAGACTGTCCAAGCCACCAGTATTTTCAGGATCTTCACACATAATAGATTTGAAGCATGTTTCCCTCATTGATTTAGGGTTAGTCAATTCTTGATCAAATTTAACTAACACTGAGCATAGGCTTCTGTTTTGGGATTTTCTTTACCCTAAACAAAGACATGGAGCCATATTCCCCCCCTACAAGCTCAAGTCAGGGTTTACCCTATGGGTGATAGAACAGAAGAGTATTTTGAAAAGAAATTTGATATATAGTTTTACCAAATCAAAGGAAAAAAAAAAAGTCTTACTAATTCTTCTTTCTTTCTGAATCCTGTAAAGCACAGTACCAAGTTCAACATACTCGCACAGTACAGTGGACGACAGGAGAAAGGTAAAGGCTGAAATAAAAAGTAAGCTTATTAGTCAACAGCATACTGCTCCCTTTAAAGTTTTCACATTACCTTTAATACAGTACTGTTATTTCTAGCATTAAAAATGCACCAGACACTAGTCCAAGTGTTCAGTTATACCTCAGCTCCAGGCCTGTCAGTGTTCTGATAAAGTAACTAGAGCATCCCCAAGTTCCACAGGTAGCATTCCATCCTTTTATTTCCTCCCCAATCCATCTGCTCTGTGTGACAGCTTTTGCAAATATACAGTGTCTGCTGGAGAATCAGTTGTATGCTGCCTTTTCTAATAGCACAATCCCAACTGGTGGTCAACAACTCCCACAACTACTGCAGTAGCTGCAGCCTTACTGTCTGCCAGTGCTTACTCACTACATGAAATATTCTAACACAGTATAGGAAACTTGGTTTTTCTTAAAATTCTCTCACTAGGAATGTTTCTGATTGATTAGAAAAGAGAGATTTTATTTTGAACACTTAATATTTAGACCTCACAGCAGCAGAGCACACTCAGCTGATTTCACCAGCCAGCACATACCTCTCCCTTCTGTGCACAGTGCAATACGACCGGCGGTCCAATGACACGGCAGTCGGCTTTGCAAAGGTTGGGAAAGATGGAATCCTGGAAGTCTGATACAACGAAGACAGTCTCAAACTCTGGGGAATCAGAATCTCCAAGCTCTTCTATTGTGTCTGTCTTTATATAGGGCACTTTAATTTCCTTAATGCACAGGGATGAAAGGGAAAGCATTATTCAGGCAGCAGACTTGCACTAGTGTCAAAATTCAAATGATTTTTACTTCGGCCCATTAGAAAAATGTATGATTCAGATTTCAGAGGCAGACTCAGGATTTGTGAAAGCTGAATGCACAAGAATATTATGCATAAGAATATCTCTGGCATAAGAATAGCTATGAACTGCTGAATGCTTTAAGATTGAATGTCCTAAAGCAATTCCTGTTGCTTTAGTAGTTTATGTATCAGTTCGCATTGATAATATAGGATTGGAAATAGCCAGATAGAAAGAAAATCCCTAAGCTCAAAAGATAAACGAAATTTCAGACTGTCAGAACAGCTTAAGGTACTTTGGGATGCTACTAAAAAGTAGCACCCAACTTGCAGCAGCAAGCTTTGCACTGCAGAACACCAGAAGAATGGAAATAGATTTTGTTCACTGCTTGGTATTTTAAGGGGTCTAAAAATTTAGTCCATTCCAATTTCAGTCAATAGTTAAATTTTTTTTTTAGTGTTTTTCACATCAAGAGATGGAGAAGCATTTCTTGTACTTCAGTTTAAATGCAGATTTCAATTGAAAGAGAAGTCAATTGACAAAGTCAGTTCATAGCAAAAACTTATGTATTGGCTGAATAAGAGCATGCAGTTGGATGTCTCCATGGATAGTTCTATCCCCCTGTTAAAAAACACCACTAGGTAAGAGCTGCAGGTATTATCTCCATATTTAAGAAAGCGTTTATAAAAAAGTGCTGTGACACCGTGAGAAACGTTCGCAATTATTGTGACCACTGTGCCCAAACTAAAGCGTGTGCACACTTCAGTCCCAGTGAACATGCTGCATGCAATTACATGTGCTTAATTGCATGACATACCATATGGATAATACTTTTTATTAATTTTTCTTCTGATTTATCAGGACTAGTTTTCTTTATCTTTATAACAGGTACTTCCATTATCTTAATGCTCTGTGGAAGAGGAGAATTTAGTACAGAAGCAAACTGGTTACCAGAAGTCTAAAGGCATGACATGTCATTCCAGCAACTGTTTTATCTCAGACCCACATACCTCCAAGGCTTTCAGAAGCTCCTCACATTTCCCTGCTTCCTGAACCAAAACCACTCTTGTTTCTATTTGAGGCATTTCTTCTGTTTATAGAGAAACAAGAGTAATATTTGTGTTTAATAGAAAAATCCATGTTAATTCTAAACCAAGCAATAACATATAGAAGAATACAGGCAGCCAGCATCCTGTCAAGATACTTTATTTATCAGGAACAAGCCTGACGATAAGTGTTACCTCAAGAAGTGTGTCCTTTAATTTAATTAAGGCACATCCAATTGCCTTACAACCTAAACTTTCTAGTGTGAGGCAAAACAATATCCTGTAATCTACATCCAGTTACCTTACAGTCAAACCCAAAAACTTACTGACTTAATGCTTCCAGCAGAATTAGATACCAAGACTTGCTGGAAAACAGATAGCTGGTATCTTTGTTCTTTGTCTCCATGTATTAACAAGCCTTCAAAATATTAGAAGGAAGGGACAAGTGTTGCCTCCATGTCATTTGCACCAAAAAACCTCCACTAAATTTTGGCTACTACATTGTAGGAAAACAAAAATATCTGTTGTTGGTTTATTAATTTCAAGAATTGCTTTTGAATTCATTTCAGGCTCAGGACTATTAATCTCTCTGTCTACCTCATAATACCTATTAGTCTGTCTACCTGTACACAACAGAGCAGCTCTAGTTTCCAAACACTGGTGTCAAAATGCCACCTGGAATGATTTATTCCACAGAAGAGGCATCAAATGGAACTGACAGCTTTCTGCTCAACAGCCAGAAAACTCGCTTGATTTGGGCTGTAACCCTAACTTTTTATAAGATGAGTTAAAAAAATAAGACAGTCCCTTTGTTGATGAAAGGATACCAGATCAGTACCCTTCTGGCTACTCTACAATTCTGGAGCTCAGCAAAGCCCTTTTGGTTTTTCAAAACTACAAAATACCTACAAAGTAATCAATCATTACAGTCTTAAAATAAGCTTCCCCCATTACCTTCAACATCCAAAACAGACCCAGGAAACACATTGTCTTTGGAGGTTTCTATAATTTTTGAATCAAGAACAGAAGAATCAGCCAAGAGGCTCCTCCCAGTCTCAGACACCAGCGTGCTGTTGTCAGCCATGATTATGTCTTGCTTCTCTCTTCAACAGCTGGAAGGCAGAGGGGCTAAACTGAGTTAAAACTGCAAAAAGCTCATTAATAAGAGTCCTATTACTCAGGCAGTTGGAAGTGACCTCAGAAAACAAAACATTCAGACTCTTACTGAACTCCCACTTACACTGATAGAGAAATTCTGAAAGAGCATCAGAAGCCACACAGTTGATAAAGGACCAACAACACATCTGCTACAGAAATGGTTCTGTAATTCATTTGCACAGAGAGCTGCAGAGTAACTTCAGATCTAAACAGCAGGGAAGCATTAACTAGTGTTCATTTAAAAACGTTTAACCACAAAGCATCAACAAAATAAAAGCATTTGTTCCCTTCAGTGGCAAACTATTGTAAGCTAAAGCTGAGACCAAGATTAGCATTGCTGAAATGAAACATTAGCAGAAGAATTAAGGCAGGCAAAGCATCTTGCTAAAATTTGATTTTTCAGGTGAACTGGCCAGAGACACTGCAGGTAAAAAAGAGCACCCAGAGAGTAAAACAGTACTATTTACTTAGAGAAAAAATAAAAATGCATGAGAGTCTCCACAAAGTTAATAAGCATATACATGTCTATCTGCATGGTCTAGTCTATTGTTCTACATTAACTGTAATATAGTAGAAGTATCCACTGTCAGATAAAGAAGCTTTTCACAGACACAAAGTATCTGTGCTCTCCCTGCCTATCAAACCTGTCACACACTGAAAAGGCAGAATTCTTAATCCTCTCACATTTTGTGCAGGTACCCACCTGAATCTTGTACCAGAGAGTTTGCTCTAAGAGACCTGCCCAACATGCAGCACATTTTCTCTGGCACGTGAAGCCAACAGGCTGCATTTCCTGTGATTCATCACATACCTAGATTTCAATATTTGCACAGTGATATCACAGGTTATCCACACCAGCAACTGCAGCTGAACTGCTGTAGCACAATAACCCTTTGTAGCACTCTAATTGAAGTTGCAACACAGCAAGCACCTAAATACTACATTAAAGCACTGCCTGAAAGAGGACTCTTGAGGTAGGAAAACCCCTGGAGAACAGCACATGCTATTTTTCAAGTTGTGTAATGACCATTCTATTACACAGCAAAGTAAGTCAGAAGACAAAAAAAAAAAACAATGGGCATTTTAGCATAATGGCAATATAGTAAAAACTCTTCCAGAGTGTAGGAGATCACATTTGGGACTCTTGGAAAGGATTCATGTCTTCATAACACCAGTAAGTTCTTAATACAGTGATGAGTAATAAGTCAACACTACAAATCTATCATAATTCTAGGCAAATTCGGTTATCAAATTTGTCATCTTAGCTTCAATTTCGAGGTTCCACACAGCTGTGCAGGCTCCAAGGAATTAAGTTTCTTTAATTAACTCTCAGTCACCCACCTCATTTATCTCAGAACAGCTTAAGACAGAGCAAGAGGAAAAAGCAACCTTAACCATAAAGTCTTTTAGGATCACCTGTCCAGGTTATAATGTTACCACCAGGAACTGCTGTACAAATACGTCTTTGGCAGTAAGGGCAAAGGGACACATAATCTTGGAAGATTCAAACCATATTGTTAATAATGATTACCAACAGAACTCAGACAAAAACAAACCCTCCAGTTAAGGCTACAATTAAACTTAAATCCTAGGGATTATTACTTAAAAGTCTGACACATCAGTATAGTTCCTGTCATGCTGTTATTGGTATATCAAATAACATGTATACAAACTCACAGAGAACTTCATTGTATCTTTGGGATAAGCCCACATTTTGGGCTGCACAGTGATTTTCTTTATGGCTTTTCCAATTTATTTATGAGGTTCCCTCTGGGTGTACTTTAAAAAATACTCCTTGTTTTAAAGGTTGCATAATAACTAATAACATTACACTGGTCACTAAAATTAAGGACTGAAGGTGCCAGGACACAAAGGAGAAAAAAACAGCACACAGAGACATGAACACAACAGTTTTCCTTCACTTGAAGAGCGAAAGTCAGAACGCCATCACTACAGGACGCAGGCAGACGAAATGTTCTCACAGCATCGCACAGAAACCATCGCCCTACAGCCTGTAGGAAGCCTGAAGGCCACACAACACCCGCTCACCAAAACTCGTTTGTTAAAGCAAAAACAGGACATTAAACACCTCCCAAGCTGCCATTTCCCTCCCGAGGAGCCGCCCAGGAGGTGCCCGAGCGCTCTCACGGCAGGTGCCGGCGGGCCCGGGCCTCCGCTCCGCCCGCGGGGAACCTCCTGAGGGGCCTCGGAGCGGCGCCGGGACTCCGAGGCCTCACAGGTGCCCGGGACACCGGCCCTGCCCGGGCCGCCTGCACCCACCGCTGCCCCCCACACCGGGCTCGGGTTCGAGCTCCACCGCCGGCACCACCGCTGCAGTCCGCCCATGCGGCCGCCGCAATTCAAAAAGCGAGCCGCCGCACTCGCGGCGCCACCATTGCTTGCCGGCCCCCCGCCCCTCTGTAAACCGCCATCTCATTCGCCAGCTCCGCGACATGTCCCGCCTCCTCCCCTCCCTTTTCGGGCAGCTCTCCCTCTCAGATTGGGCGTTGCACCTGCCGCTCACACTGAGCGCGCTCCCATTGGTGGTGGGAGGTTGCCAGGCAGACGGGCAGCGCTTGTTGCGGTACCGAGCGCAGGTCGCTGAGTGGGCGGGGCAGGGACACGCTGTGCGCTGATTGGCTGGTAGGGGGTTTGAACGCTCCCAACGGCCGCGCCGAGAGACCCGGATGCAGCGGGGGGGGGAGAGCGGCCCCTCCCTCAGCCCAACGCAGGGCACCAGGCGAAGGTTACCGTGGTCACCGTAAAAACAATACTGCTGTTAATAAATACATAAAAAATAAAAAGGGGTTTGGGTGTGCATCTAAGTTTCGGAATAAGCAGTTCGTAGGAAACAGGTGCTGCTGGGGGCAGAGGAAATAAGACTGGTCAAGGTGAAAATCAACCCACTGTCTCCATGGCACCAACCACAAATAAATTTAATGTACCAAATGCTTTAACTGCCCTTTTATTGTCAATTGTTCTTGATGCTAAAGCTTACTGGTCCAGAAGGGAATTTTGTCATGGGGCTCAGGTTTAGGATAACATGTCACTGTCTCAATGTAAAAACAGTGAGATATATTTTCTTTTTCTAGAATTTTTAATTATATGTCAAATTGAGCTCTTAGATCCTACCCTCTTTATTATTATTATTATTATGTTATACTACAGATTTTTATCAATTCAGGCATTTCCATGACTGATTCAGCAGCTGTAAAACTCCACTGACTTTTTACTATTTGGAATTCAAATGTAATAGGAAAAAGCAGAAGGAGATGAGAACAGGTGTTGTTTATGTGAATAAAGATTTGCTGGTGATGTACATGTAAATTAGGACTATTTTCCTGAGAAAAAGATTTCAGAATAACAGCCTGGAAACTGAGGAGGTCATTCCAATGCTGACACAAGTCAAATTATTTCACAGTCCTACACTTGCTTTATTTCATACTGAGGAATTGCAACAATGACTTACAACCAAAATACAGCCTGACGTCCTTTTGTCACCTTTAAGCTCTCATTTGGGCTATCATTTTGCAGTTCCAAGCCAGGCCAGCCTTCACTGGCTTTTCCTGTTTTCTTCTTTCTTTGCACTCTTCCAAAGTCCTTTTCAGCCAGGTGTTCAGTTTTTCCCACCCCTGAAACCAGAAACCATGTTTCTCCTAGGTTTGGAAAAAGTTCTGCAGTACAGGAGTCAATGTCACTTTTGCAATATAGTTTCTGGGAAACGATACTGGTGATTGCACATTGATTTCCACTTGACCTCTAGATCTTCAAAAAAAATCTATATAAAGTTTTGCGTGTGCAAAGGCAGGAGAAGCATATTTATCAGGGCTGGAGATTGTCAGATGATACGTGTATCACTTCTCAGTTAAAGGTTTACAGAAGAATTTAAGTGATATCCAAACATTCAGTACATAACTAGAGGCTCACTGCGAATACAGGGGCTCACTGTGAATACAGGGAGGGACTTGCATTAGCCATTTTTTGAATACTCTTGAAAATCCAGAATTATCTCAAAAACCAACTGGGATATTCTGGTGAACTACCTTAAGCTGTCCTTCCTGGGACTGACAGAACTTTTAGGAATTAATCACTTAAGAAAAGTGACTGTTTATGGTTCGGTTTTTTGTTTATTTTATTTTTTTTAATCTAGTGCATTTATTCTCCCAAAAGGTCAGATCAGGACTGATGACAAAAATAATTACTATTCTTTATATGTCTGACATTTGAAAATCTAAGTGCTTTTCTTATAAAAGGCTCTGAAATGGAAACACCCATTATTTTGTGTTTTGTAAACTGTAACATGCATCTGAAACTTGCTCTACCTTCCAGTTAGGTAGGCTTCAGTAACCTACGAGTATAACTTTTATTTAGTAGTAAAATAGTTTCCTCTCACAGTGACACCCACAAGGAGAAAGTTTCAGGAGATTAAGTCAATAAATGACTCCTGACACAACAACTACATCGCAGCAGGGATCTCATACTTGCGGAAAAAGTCAACGAGGCCACATCAGAAGAGCTGATGGAACACCTGATGGTCCCTGGATATCTTGCAAGCACTCTCATGTTTAATTTATCTTTTGTGGTTTTTTGGTTTTTTTTAAAGTAACCTTTCCCAAACAACAGTGGTTTGTTTGTTTGTTTTTTTACCAAGTGACTTCTTTATGAGCACCTGAAAAACAAAGAGCCATTGATTCAGTTCAGCCAGAGCAGCAGCTTTAAAAACGTGAGGAAGGGAAGAGATCAAGCACGAGATGCATGTGGGGGGTCAGTGGGAGCATGAGAAACCTCAGAAAAATCCCATCCAGCCTTCTCTCTCTTTTTGAGGACTGGGACTAGACCCAGTTTTGCCAAAGGTTTGGGAACAATGAGACAGGCACCAATTATTACACTCTGGGATGCTGGGTGTGGGCTTTAGGGGCAGGAGCTTGGGAAAGCAAGGGAATGGGAGCACGCGAAGCAAGGGAGGCAGGGGAGCAGGGCACAAGGTAAAAGAGAAGGTGTGGGCACAAAATAATACAGAAAGGGACAACTTGGTATAAAAAGCTGGAGATCTCAGGAATCTCACTTTGTGCTGCTTTCTTGGCAAAGTTTGTTTCTTCACACCTGTAGTCTACTCAAACAGACCATGAAAATCACAGAAACTCCATCTGCTGTTGTTATGAAAAAAGGTTAAAGATGCTTGAGTGTCTGATTTCCTCCCAAATTCCAGAAACTTTCTTCTGCAACCTTTAGAATCAGTGAGGTGGTACTTCAATTCCAGGAAAGCTAGACAAAAAGCTGACCTTTTACTTCTTAGAAACGTATTTTTCTTTTATTACCTTTTCATGTCAATTTTTAAAGGAAACTTGTGCTTTCCAGGACTCTAAATAATTTCTATGTGACTTTTTAGTATTATGAATTCATTTTTTTAAAGCAATGTCATTGTTAAAATTAGTGCTCATTCCTTTTTCTGCACTACATTCATAATGCACATTAATCTGGCTATTTAAATAAATATTTTAATTTGCTGAAGGTAGAACTGTGACTAAGTAGAGATCTGTGTGAAGGCTGAACTCTATAGTGTTTGGGATGAAAAAGACTTATTTCAAAATTTTTTCTTGTCTTAGGTACAAGAAATGTTCCTGCATTAAACCAAAATTTGTTACTGACCCAGGATAAAAATAAAAATAAAAAAAAATAAAAAGCCCAACAAATTCCCAGTCCAAAACAAAATTACGAAATAAACATACCTTAAAAAAAATAATCTTTCTGGAATTGTTTTGTGATGTGTTAGATGAGAAACAGCATGGTTTCTTCAGCTAAAATAAAGGTGTCCCTGAGTTCCTCCTGGAAACATGGTGGATCTGGGATCCTCACGGATTTACTTGAATTGATTCCCATTGCCTTCCTCTCACCTCCCCAGCCTCTGGGCTCAGTGGACTAGGGCCACCCCTGCTTGAACACTGATGCTCCCGCTCTCTGCTGGCAAAGACCTGCCACTGTGCTCGTCTTCTGGTGCTACAACCTCTAAAAATGGAAAATCAAAGCCAGCTTGGATGAGGCTCTGATCAAACTTGTCTAGTGGAAGGTGTCCCTGCCCATGGCAGGGAGGTCAGAACTAGAAGACCTTTGTGGTGGTTTGAAACTCCCAAGAATCTAATTTTTAAGTTCAAGCCCCCCTCCAACCCAAAACATTCTGTGATTCCATGAAAGTGGTGGGGTTTGCTTGTGGGTTCGACTGCTGTCAAGTCAGTCTTCCCAAAGCCACTGGGGTTCTTTTGCCAGCCCAAGGTGGGTGATGGGCTGTGGGTTTGGGTGCGGGTACAGAATCACAGAATCAGCTGGGTTGGAAAAGACCTCTGAGATCATCAAGTCCAACTTTTGACCTAACACGACCTTGTCTTCTAGACCATGGCACTAAGTGCCACATCCAGTCTGCTCTTAAATACCTCCTGAGAGACGGTGAATCCACCACCTCCTGAGCAGCCCATTCCAATGTCTGATCACTCTCTCTGTAAAGAACTTCATCCTAAGGTCTAACCTAAACCTCCCCTG